CGCTCCAACGTATCCGATGCATAAATATTTAGTAACAGCCGGAATCCACGATCCATCACACCGCGCTGTGTGTACACTCGTCGTCGTCGAGCGCGCCTCTTGACGAACGGCGTAATTTCGCTCCCGAATCGTAATTAGACCCATAAATAATCCAATTATCGCTTCGTGACTATATTATCGACTCCCACCCATATACCACTACGAGGATAGATCCGCACAGCATATCTGATTGGAAAATGAAAAAGAGGGGTAAAGATAGCTTTGAGCAAACAGAGACATCTCTCCCTTGCTCTTAGCTACACACTTCCCTGTATATTTACACTTTTTTCGGCGAGTTATGAGTTTCGGTCAGGGTAGTACGAAACGGCTTTATTATCATCCAGTATACCGAATGAATAATTATAATCATTTCGATTCCCCCAATCACGAGTGGTTACTGTACAGTGATAAGTTGAAATCACAGTTATATTGGATGGATATGTGCATTTGAAAGGCAAAGACAAGGACACCGTACCTATAAATGTAGCCTGTCCTTCGTGCTGGCACCCCTAGTTGGTTAAACTTCGTCTTCTTCATCTTCTACTCTCTTTTTTTTGTCAACGCGTCGATACACATTGGAGAGGAGTAGCCATTCAAGGGCATACCCGGTATCGTCTTGCAATTACTTTCGAAAAATTTTGAGGAAGACAGAAACAGGTTGTATTCGTTTTACCAGATTGTGAATACCCTTGCTCTTCTGGGGAAAAAGTGACGCAATAAAAACTTTGAAACTTGATGGGATTTCAAAAACCATTTCAAGAATCCTTTGGAAATCTTGTGGTACTCATGATGACTCAAAAATCCTTTTAGGATTCCCATGGAAATCATTCGATGATTTCAAGCCACTTTTGTTCCTAATTTTGTAATTAATATACTACATGATGATTTTCGAGTCCTTCAATGACTTTGAGAGAAAGATACACACTATGGTAATCGTCAAAATTTCAAGTTTTAAGCTGTTCGGGATGTATGTGATTACTTGGTTCTCTCTAGAGATTGGATCAAGTAAAAAAATTGACCCATCTAACGTGAATTGAAAGTCTCTCAATCAAGCAGTGGTTGTTTAAGTCCAAAATAAGGAAGATCGTTTTAATTTGTAACAAAAAATAACTTTTCTTCTTAAAATAAATAAAAATTTCTATTAGATACGTTTTCATTAGATAATCTATTTATAAATGAAAATAACACTATTATTTTTCAATTTTTTATTTATGGTACGGACGGGGAAAAAAGTGATTATTTTTTTCATTTGAATTTTTATGTTTGATAAATGTCACTGTACCTAATACAGAGAACGTTTGGCAACAATTCGTTTAAATAAAGGAAATACCTTTCATATTTTTGAGTAGCCATACTATTTGAACGACCAAAACCTTACACACATTGACACTTTCTACCAACTAGCTAATTTTCGGGCTATTCCCAAAAAGGGAACGGCATTTTTGAGTTCGTAATTGTGCAACAAAAAAAATTCATTAAACCCTCTCTCCCCCTATTGAATGACTCTACAAAGCGTAGAAGTATATAGGTGGACGTTTTTGCTTCACGACCTTGTCCTTACCCACGTCAGTGCTTTAATACTCGATACGCCATTACACAGGGATGGTTGTGTAATAAGAAATTTCGCTTGAAAAANCAATTCCAAACCGATTTCCCCACGTTTACAACACTAATACAGTTTGATGTGCAAGAGTAAAAAAAAAAAAAAAAAAAAAAAAAAAAAAAATCCCTCATTCCGACGTGTAATCCCCATTCACAAGTCCCGCTTGACACTTTCCGAATTCCCCAAGGAAAATTTCACGTCGAAAATTCACCCTCACGTACGTCAAAGTGTTGGAAATGGGATATAAGAAAACCGTCTCACTGGAGAAAGGGGGATACGTTTTTCTGCTCCTAATATCAAGTGTGTCAAAGTCAAGCGATCTCGTACGAATTTACGATTTTAAATGTGGTTTGACTTTAACAGGAATACAATAATTTCTCTTATAGTAACTGAACATTTCCAGTCGTTTTTATTTTGCGTAATTTAGGAGTTAATTCTTGGATGTGTTTTTAGCAATGTTTCAAAAGTTGATTAGAAAATAACCAACATAGGTAAACTGGAAAAATATGCAAAGAAATTATAATAAAATGAGAAATTTTGTGAACAATTTTGGGATCACAAGTGCATTATTAAAAAAAAAAGGCACGAGCATTTATAATCTTTCAACACGTAATACGAATAATAGTAATATTTTACGAACTACAATTATTTATCGTTGTTCATTGAGTTAGTCCAAGAAAAAACAATTTTTTTAAGCTAAATATTGGCTGTCTCTCTGGGATATACAAGCTGCTGTATCTGGAACAACGAAATAAAAGGTGTACAATAAAGACTTTTCATCCCTCCGATTTAGGATTACATAAATTCTTGTAATCTATTAATAAAATTAATACTGCAATTTCTATTAAAATTTTTCTTCATGTTTTAAATCATAAATTCTTTACGAGAGTAGCATGTACATGTTTGACAGATTGTAACGTGCGAATAGTCGAACAATAGTAATTAATTTCACTTCAAAAGCCACGAAGACAGTACTGGTACCTGCTTTTTTTCCGAGTTTTTCCAATAATTCACAATCACCGTCTTTTACAGCAAAATCATCTACAGGCACTTGCAGCTGTAAGAAAAACTTGACAAAGCTCCTCGCGTTCATCTCTTTCGGGTAAAAAAATAGGAAGGAAACTCCCGTAAGAGCTTCTGACGGTTACTGGAATGAAAGAAAAAAAAATCACCACACGCTTGAGATAGGTAACTTTGGGTTCATGGGAACGAGCTGCTTCTGAAACGCCTTCCACGTGTACTATAGACGTACAGGCTACGACTAATGGACGCAGGCCTTTCTCGCGTTCATCCACACCTTTTTTTTTCTTCACTCGCTCCGAGGAAAACTTGGACTACGCCCTTACTTATCTCAAGGGCAATTAGCTGCGTTTTTCGCGTGTGTCTTTTCTTCTCCAACTTCTTCTTCTTCTTCCTAATATAATAATATATGGCATTGTGCTCCGTGCCGTAGGTCGCTCGCTCGAAAGGCTGGGAGTTTGTGCTTTTGGCGAAACTTTTGTTTGCCCCTGCTCGTTGTGAGGATAATTACTTTTTTTTTTTTTTTCCTTCTTTTTGTTCTTTTGTTTGGATGGTGGAGAAAAAGAATTTCGTGCCATCATTGCGTCGATCGTTTCTGTAGATTTTTACTTGGTGGAAATGATCTGAAACGTCTATTGTTCATACAAATAGAAACGAATAATTGAGCACAGATTCTCACGAAACTTGATTTAGACAAAATTTTTTTAATTATGAGCAAATGATTTCAATACGTGTTGAATTTGCAAAAAATACAAGTAAAAAATTTATATTTTATTTGAGCAGGAGAATCTAAGTCGTTTTATTTTTTGTGAGGATTTAACGTTTACACAACATTGTTTCAAAATCAACCAGTGACTGGACATCCTTATTTGTCCGATGATTCCTCCTCCGTAAATTTTTACTCTGAGGATTTCGAGACACATAACAATTTAGTTGGGAAATTGTTTAAGTTGGTAAATGCACACTATCGAGTGCTCCCGAAACTTAATGCCCTCAATGCCGTAGAAAGCGAGTCCTAATTTATGCGAAATTCACGATCATAAGATAGGAAAAGCCGAAAAGTTACGGACTTTCTCATCGATGATAACGATTCACCTCTGGAAAATCGATTTAAGGGCGAAAACTCAATTTAAGTTCCCAAACTCCGCTTCGTTACATCACGTAACAACATAATATATCAGGGTAGGAAGATTCGAAAAAATTAATTTGATTGTACGACAAAGTTTATGCGTCTATGCCTTCGTTAAAATCCGGCATCGCTATTATTACTGTGTTTGCGAACTTTAGCGCAGCACTTGAATTATACGGCGTTGCATAAAGTGCGCGGCGAAATCCTATTATTGGTGCGATATAATGGATCCACCGTCCTGTGACTGGAAAATTTTAAATTACTCTGAAAGTAAAGGATTATGCGAAAAGCTCGCGTTGTACATCCCCGCATTTAATAATAAACATGGAAATAACTTTGCACCACTTGTTATCTGTAATGAGAATTTCGTGGTTAAATAATTCGAAAAGCTATTTTACGTAAACTACAGGTGAAATATTTTCCGTGAATATTTATCTTTGATATTCACGAAATTAAATTTCATAACGCGTATTTGTTTTTCGCGTATTGCTTTTATCCTCGTGATTGTTTTTCGTAGCTGTGATGAAGTATCGGCAATCTAACGAGTCAATTGAATCCTTTAGGATACTTTAAATTTATTTCCGTGACCCGATATTTTCATCTGCATTACACTAAAGTAACGTTAGATCCACTTTTCGAGTTAAATGAAGTTGACTTATTTTATTTTATTTTTTTTATTTGCATATAAGAAGATACTTTCTGTACAAATGGTAATTTCAGAGGAAATTGATGTTGCAGTCGACAGTTAGTTACAAAATGTCCTCTGCTCGACACCATCTATTTTTATCGGTTGGCAAAATCGATATGCTCTTTTTTCTGAAAAAAAAAAAAAGAAAAAAGGAAACTGTAAGGAAAAAAAAGGAGGAGAGAATGGTTGGGAAGATTAAAATAATGGTAAATCGATTCTTACTTTTCGTATATTCTCACTACATAAGACATTAACGTCAATCGATATTCCGTCCTTCGATACTCAATAAATTTACGAAACGACCAGCTCTATCTGTTTTATAAAATGTCAGGGTATTTTCTCAAGAAAAAATTTTAAACAAAATATTTTAAGTTGCTACTTAGTACCTTTTTTTTTTTTTCATTTAGTTATTGGTATTTTTATATTAAATCAAGTGTTAAAAAAAAATTATTTTAATATAATAATACATTGACGGTCAAAAATAAATAACTACTAATAATAAAAATGACTTGTTGTTCCAGGTCCCTTGCTGAAACGGTCATTAAGATTGTAAAAGGTAAGCCCTACATCAGTTGTTACACGATTCTTTTATGTTCTGCATAATCTGAGACTTGGGCACAATTATTTTTTAGATTTTGGAACATTTCAAAGTAAAACTTATATCCACAAAATTTAATGCATAAAAAGAAAAACATTTTTTCTATTATGAATATTGTATTGTTTTATAAACACAGTATTGAAAAATAATTTTTATTTTGAAACAGTATAATATGTTTTTATAAAATAAAATGACTACAAGAGAAATACATTGATAATTTTTGCTTCTGAATTTTTTTAAAATTTTGCGTTACATTTGCAGTGAAACATTTTAGCAAAAAATATCAGAAAACGTACTTCTATACCAAAGTTCGCATACTCTGCTACAAAATCGATTCCAAGTCCACGTAAATCAACAGTAAGAGCTGGAAAAAAATAAGCTTCGAAAATTTCCAGCACACGTAGAAAAAAAAAAAGAAAAATCTCGAGTGACCTTAAAAAAAATAAATTCAATAAAAATTCCCCCAAAAAAAGCAAATGACCTTCGTCCAATCGGAAACGTGGAAAGCGACGTAAAGTCCGCGAGGATTTTCACGGCGGATGGCCGAGCGATAAAGGCGCGATTTATTGGAAACAGGAGCACATAGCTATAGGTATTCAGTGGCCGGGGGTGGAGAAAACTTCCCGAAAGTCGTAGGACGACCCAGGGAGGAAATTAATGTCGTGAGGAGCATCCCTAAAAGAGAATTCGTTCCAGAGTGTATACACGCATATACGTACACATGCGAGTGCGAGGGGGGGGGGGATCGGAAGGAAAGAGGAGGAGAGAAAACATGTAGTGTTGGAGGAGTTGATGATGAGCGTCGGACACGACTTTGGGGTGAATTTTTCAGGAAGCACGTATATATACATGTAGGCCTCAGACAAAGTTTTTCAACGCTTGTCTGCTTCCGTGAGTCGATCCAGGGAAGTTTAGTGCATGAGAACGGCGGGTCTGGAGATAGACGGAAAGCTTGTACAGCACCATGGTGTGCATTTTATTTCAATGTGTAAGATCTTTTTTTCTTTTTTTTTTTTTTTTTTCTGTTTTGACAACTTGCTCTGGATTTGGGCTGATGCGGATGAAGGTTTAAAAACTTGAATAAGATAAAAGTATCTTGTTTTTACATTTTGTTGTGTTTGCCCTACTTTTTTCAATTACGAACATTCAATATTCACAAATCTCAGAAATACTTTGCATCTCTAAAAACATTCATTATGTGCCAGTGACGGCTGGTAGGAATTATTATCGAATTAAAGTAATTTCTATTCAGTTATTGTACAATATATGTATAGTCAATAAAAGATAAAAATCAACATTTTTTTTTTTTAATTATGCATAAATGTATTACCAAATATATACACGAGTTGGGCTTCGCCCCTCCCCGGTCTGCGCTTCTACTTATAAAGGGTTTATTTACACAATGTTGCAATAAATTTTCATAAAATCCCACACAACTTTGACTGATGTATGCTTTGAGCGTCTACTTTAAACACACGCTCCGACTGGCAGTGTAATCCCCCTTATTGGGGGGTGAAAAAATTTCCGAACAAAAAAAAAAAAAAAAAAAGCCTCACTTGTAGCGCAAACAAATCGAGCACATACCCCCGAAAATAACGCAGAGCGAAATCCAGTGCTAAACGGGGACGCGATTTCCCAAAGGGCCGGTCGTAAAATCGATTGTGGCTGGTATATAACATCCAGCAGCGCGAGCTGCTCTTGAATTCCCAGCAAGAACATCCAAAAGCCAACGGATGTAGCGTAGGTATATATGTACGTACAGGTAAAAAGGAAAAGCGCTCGAGCACCCTGTGGAGGAAGTGGGTATGTATATGTATGTACCTACTTCCTCGCGCATGTACATGTAGCACCAGGAATAGCTAGAGCGAGAAAGACGCTAATTATCGCGCAAAAGTAAAAGGTCCTTGGCTGGCTGTCTGTGTGTATTTTCACGGCCGACTGGCTCGCCCCGACCCTCCGTATACATGTGTACATTGACGCGGCCAAAAAAAGGTCAAGGAGTCGGAGCCGCGTTTGCGCTTATACACTTAATCTGTATACGCCCCTGATGTCTTTCTCGCCCCTTTTGCGGGCTATACCATCGATTCAGCATCTTTTGTGAAATCTCTCGGTGTATATATATATATATATATACACGTAGCGCTTGTACCTGTGTTTCACAAGTTGTGGGCTTACTCGAGCGAGAGAGTAACGAAAAAAAAAAAAAGCTTTTTACAGCTTCGCGTATAATTAGCGGAATGTGGATTTAGATTGTTGGAGGTTCTGAATACTCGGCTAAGGTCGGGTGATCGAATGGTGGGTACATTTCTAAGTTCAAATTATTTACATGCATGATTTTTTTTTTTTTTTTTTTTACTGCGAAGCTTTTGTCAACTTTGATTCCATTTTTATTATTAGAAACAATCGTGTGATTTAATAACCATTGCAGCTGTAGTTGTGCTAAAAAAAAATGTACATACATTTTTCTCGTGTGTACATAAGTTTAGTTGTGCATCGGAGCATTAATATTTCCACCCTTCATAACGCAGCGTTGATAAATCCTTTAAGAAACCCACTGAAAGTGTCAAAGTCCTATTTAATTTAGCCTCGGAGCCGTACACGAAAAGCTTTTGCGTAAATCCTTCGTTTTAACCAAAACAACGGGAAATATAATGAAACAAACCCTCGAGGCAAACTTCGCGTTATAATACAAACACATAAGAGTTGATTGGCACAACGAAGGAGAAGACGAAAGCCCCAATTGCCAAGACTAAGATGCGGCGCACAAAGTTCGGGGACTACGTAATTTCTCCGCTTGAATCTTAGCTGTGCCTTGTATACTATACATATATAATACCTCGTGCACCCACACACGTGACACAGGAAGCGAGTCGAGTTTGGAGAGGCGTGGTGTCCATTAGTATACATATACATGTATATTATATATATGTATAGGTATATACACGTGAAGGAGCAATCAAAATTGAGTTAATCAAACGACTTTGTCATTTACCGGGTACATAACTAGTTACTCTGGCTTGAATCACTTGCTCGTGTGTGTATACAAGATGGATACTCGTAATTACGAGCCGCAGCGTCAAAGTGATTCCTTTTGGGTGAAGTAGATATTATGTCAGGCGTAATAATTAACGGGATAAAAGAACCCATGGGGGAACAAGGTTAAATATGTCATTTTGGGATGAACAAAAAATATTGCTCCCTTTGGCTATTTACTTCAAAGTAGATGTTTTTTTTATTTTTTCATTTTTCTGAGCTCGCGACCGAAGAGGGTGCAAACACCCTCGTAAATCCAGCGCAGTGCATCGATATGCGCAACCCACGTGTTTACGATGCAATATCCGGAAGTGCGGTGTATATGTACGTTGTGCTGATGCACGCAAGCACACGTACGGAGGTGAAGCATGCGTGGCGTATCAAGTAAACATCATACCCGCGTATCGGCAGTTTTTCCCTGCCTCGCGCTCCTTGGGCTTTGGGTCTGTCGAAAAATAAACCCATCATCAAGGGATATTGGCAATGGGCTTTGCGAAATCAGTGGAAATGCTATGAGGTTGGCCGCAGGTGTATAATGCGTCGTATCCCAGGCTTTAGTGTAATCATTTGTGGGGGAAAGAAAAAAACTTTTACTTTGTCATGATGAAATAAACATCGATTTTCCACTCATCGGTTCAACTGAAAACTCCATCCGTATGTGAGTGCTGCTATTGTCCAAAGATGCGAGAAAAAGTCGAATGAAACTAGAATGTCACCGATCAAGCCTTTCTTCGGAGTCCCAAACCACCCCAATCATCCCCCACTTGTCATTCAATGCCCGTGATAAACCGCGCACCTATAATCTGCGAAAAGTCATTTTCATCTGAAAACACGGGCACGCTCTCCCGCGATCGGCCCGACAACTCCATTATTACACGTTGCATAAATCATCGTAACGACCAAGTCTCCCCCCGCCCCTCTACTTTTCTCCCACAATTGCCTGACGGGAATCGTAAGGTCACGGATTGTTTGCGCTTCATTTTCACGAAGACGCGAGCAAAGGACATGACAGACGGACGGACGGATGATTTTTTGGTTTCGTGTACACCAGGTGGACGGGGGAGGTGTATTTGGATCGGAATATTGGCAACAAACTGCGCTGGGGACGGGCGAGCTTTGAAGATGATTCATAGCTCGGGGCTGTCTATTTTACTGTGCGGGTATAAAAGGGGAGGGTCGCTCGGCTGATCGAGCGGAAAGAGGGATCGGATACGCGCTGATTTGATGTTTTCTCTGTTGAATCGCCCGCGCGCGTAGACATGCGTACGTATGTTTTAAGATTCGCCGCACGAATTAATTGGATCGGAACGTAAAATCATATACACGAACCCCATAAACGCACGAGCTCATGGGAGTTGTACAGCCGAAGGGATTCAATGACGCGTCGCTTTTTTTTTTTTTTTTTTTTTTTCTAGTGCGTGGTAAGTACACACTGCACTGAACGGACTCCAATCATTCACCCCGTAGATCGTGTAGCGAAGAGTTGTGTTTTTTTTCTTCGCACTCGAAAGAAAAGGCAAAAAAAAAAAAAAGGAATCTCGAATGGATTACTTGCGAGAAATATTACCGCATGTTTGTGTCACGCAGAATAGTTCGATTGATTGAATGAATTCGCGGATTGAACGCAAAGGAAATGCTTCGTCAATATACGTTTAATTTGCATTCGTGAGCGGGAAGAGGAAAGGCAACAGGAAAAATCCCAATTTCACCCCGATTTTCGCCGTCGCACCACTTTTTACGCGTTTGCATGTGAGTAATAATAGGCACTTGTTTTTGCATAACTTTTCATCTCACGGGTAAAAACAGATTGGTACAAGTGTGGAATTATAACTAATAACTCACCGCATCAAGGGTTAAAACAATATTTCCTGTTCGTTATCTCTATTATAGGTACTGCAAACGCGCTGACCGCAATAATCTGGGGT